GACAGACAGACAGACAGACAGACAGACAGAAAGACAGACAGACAGACAGACAGACAGGTATACATATATAATATCTAATATATAAATCTTTTTTGAGAAAAACACATTTCGATGTTCCGTATCCGCAACACTTTCATTTCTGGCAACCGCGAGCGGAGTACTTAAGAATAAAGGGTTCTCGGTAAGCGCGTACCGGAGATTTATTCGAATACACTCAGCAGAGTCGCGGAGAAAATATTAGAGGGATGCTAACGTCCCATGAACGTGTGACACAGTAACTCTCTAGTACCCCATCTCCCACCCTCGTAAGCTTCACCCGGGGTACCTTTGCTTTGCGTCGTATATGTGACGGGTGTTTGGAGACGCTTAAGCGTATGTTCGGGTTACTGTGTCACACATGCACGGGACGATTAAACTCGTCTTGTGGGAAAATAGCCTAACGACATCTGGCCCCAGTGGTGAAATTTTCTATCCCAACTTTTTCACTATAAGGCTTGATTACACCGTGGTTGCAAATAGCCAAATATGGTCCATCCTGTTACAAGAAGTAGTGAATTATTGCATTCCAGTCAGCGATTTTCCATATTGGTGAGAGGACCAATTTAGGTAGCGTCGGTAGATTTCCTAGAGAGATTGAGGGCTTATAAAGGAGGAACCAAGCTTGGTTGCTCTTCCTTTAGCAGTGATACTGAAGCCTCTCACTTGAAAATATGTAGGTTGGGGTCCTACTTTTGTTTGAATTCTATGTAGAAGCAAAAGTAAAATTGCAGCAATGGTGGAGCCGTACAATTCTTTGCTCACCACGCACACCACTCTCGAACATTCTGACTGTTCCTTTATGCTCGACAACGAAGCTATCTATGAGATTGCGAAGTCGAATTTGAACATAAGAAGGTGAGTAGTCATTCTACTTACACATATAATCCACTCTGTGTGTCTGTTGGTGCGTTTGTGTTCGTGTGTCTGTGTTTGTCCCACCGGAAATCATTCCTGCCCACTAGAGGTAGAGCATCCAACTTCGAAAGAGATTTAGGCGACAGACGGGTGACGGGACCAGACCCCGCCCACAAGGGGTGGAGAGTGAGCGAAAGATGTAAACTGGAACTAGAGCGCTCAAACCCAGTAGGAGTATAGGAGACAATATGCGGACACTTATGGTGGGTGGTATGATAAGACCTCGCTCGCAAGGGCAGGGCTTGCGCGAACATTATTAATTTGCAGTTAGAGCGTTCAAATTTTGTGGGAGTACAGGCTTATATGGGGACACTGATTTCAGATGGCAGAACTCCGCTTTCGATGGCGGAACGTGCGAAAAATGAGCGTAATCTCAGTGAATATGTGCAGTAAAGTTAAAGGCACAGTTCACGATAATCCAATGGGCGGGAACATCGATGGCTTTCCTGCCTCTCGACCGATTTACGTCAGACGAGTGTCGAGACAGTACAGATTGCAACTATTCGTTCTAGGACCCACACACAATCAGCAGCTCGCCGAGTGATGAGGCGATATTTTTCTCCCATTCTTTTTTCCTCTGTTATTCGTTTTGCTGCCACGATCCCTTATTTAATTTCCTACTTCTAGAAGCTGAAAAAGGTGAAGTACTTCTGCTGTTACTAGAGCCTTTTTGTTTACTTGTGCTTGTAAAAGAATGAGTTTCTGCTCACCGTGGTCTGTTATTCGCACCAGGACCCACACGTACGCAGTGAGATACATTGTATAGCTCGTCCAAACGCCTCACTCTTCTTCACTTTCTGGTCTCGATCTCGTCCATCCCCACTTTGAACGGTTTTTCGGAGCCTCTTTTCACTTTGGAAACACCTATTCTGGCAGTTTCTCCACCTTCATCGCACTATATTCAATCTTGTCTTCCATTTTTCATCATAATCTGGATTACTCAAAATTATCGTGAACTGGGCCTTTAAGGAAAGGAGATTAAACTAGTTAACTCGAACGCACATGAGCTTACAAGAACTTCGCTCATAACGGGCAAGGCGCTCAGGAAGTTGTCGGGTGTTTGTGCGTGGGTTTGGCTGGAAGTTTATACTTCTGCTGTACCGAGCCACGGCATCCGGTTCAGAGGGTACTTGAACGACAGGCTATTTTTCCTCGGAAAGAGGAGCGCAGGACATTAGCTGAAGCGATCCGACTAATTCTAATATACTATCTTAGAAGTAGTTTCAGAATTTTAATTATCCAAAAAAGATTAAAAAACGAGCAACGTTCACACGCGGTTGGTAATGTAAATATGAGTAACATGACGCGCTTGCCCAAATCAAAAGAACAAAATGAGACAACCATTCACTGAATCAGAAATTAATGGTGTTCTTGCTCTGCGATTGTCTCTCCTGCTCTTCTTAACTGAGCTTGCCACGCATCCATTAGCTCAGAAGCATCTACCCGTAAAGGACAGAATATGAGAAGCAAAGCTTTTGAGATCCACTTATGGGGCCCGCCTCTGTAGAAAGTGGTCCTGTATAAGAATATGTGGACGAGTACGTTGCTTGTCATTTCCTATAATTCCATTTTGTTATCTGATATGTGTGTAATACTACTTATGTTAATCGTCAAGTTTAGTACAGCTGGTAGTTTCACGAGTAATGTCGTGATTCTAGTGAGTTGCCCACTTTCCGAGAGAGTTCAGAGAGAGCTGTTCACAAAATCACTCTCGTTGCCTGCCACAGACCTGCTTGACGGCATGCTCAGCTCAGATTTAACAAGATTCCAGGGGCTGCTTTGCCTTTCCCATAACGTGCGCAGAAGAGATATTGCGGAACAATGGCACACAGTTCCAGGTTCAAGGCGCATACAAGAGAAAAAGCTAAGTATTCTCTGGTGCAATGGGAAATTTGAAAATCTGATCCACTGTTTTGAACTCTGTTAAGTACCAATATCTAGAACCTCAGTTCCCTAGGGATAGAAGGTAAAATAATAAATAAATAGGCCAGCAGGTCATAACACTTTGTAATAAACCATAGACCGACCGGATTTCTCGGACCGTTGAAAGGACATAATTACGATGCTGGCCCACTGCTCAGACTTCAGTGTATGTAAGACGTGTGGTCTATTTATAATACTGGTAGCATACATGAACTACTCAACATAAAAGTAGTAATTTTAAAACATACACAGCCGATTTTGCAAACATGTTGACCAATTTGAAACTTACAAACATTCGAGCAGTATAAATGCTTTCTTAGAAATGTGCTTAATAATGCTGGTAAAACTGTGGTAGCCACTAATTGATACCATGTATTCTTCATAAATGGAACGGAATCCAAACATAATTATAGGTACTACCGAAAACAAGACTTACTTTATCTAGTGCAATATTTATTAAAAAATTATCGAGTACAATATTTATTTAAAAATAGCTACTGCTTCATCGGAAAGCATGCATTCAGACAAAAGAAAGTATTCCCACAGGACGTCAACTTCAGCCCCTTAGAAGCAGTTCTCACTTTTCCCATAACGGAATTCAATTATGCTAAAACACCATTAAAAGCGAGACTAAAATTTTTTCCCTTCAGGTATATCGATGATCTTTTACTGAAACATAACCAAACAGTACACTACATAATCAGGGAGTTCAAAAAGGTATATAAAAATGCACTTCCATACAAACAACCCATACAAGTGCATCTAAATAGATTTGGTAATCACCGTTGATAACAATATGATTAACACGGAAATATATAACAAAATTGATGGTCTAAAATTTGAAGTCATCAGATTTTTTCATGCAACGTAAAATACATCCAAAAAGAATGAAGTCAGTCATATATACCGTAACTTTCGAACAGATAACACTTCAGTGGAATCAAAAGTTTCACACGTCTGTCGCTACTTGTGTCATGTTCTACAGGAAAAAACCTTAGGAATCATATTTATTTCCTTTACTTTATGATGACGGCTGAATCGAGGTTTTCTTGATTTTCTGGAAGTCTTCTGATCAAACTGCGGCATGTAATGATTGCCAATGAATTTACGACGCTATTCCAGTCCAACGTACACAAACCTGAATCGTCTGATTGCTCAGGTGGTTTCATCAATAACAGCATCTCTTCGATTTGATGGCGCGCTTAATGTGGACCTCACTGAATTCCAGGTAACAGAAAGGCTTTTCTCAATTCACATCAAACGTAAATATTGAACATTTCGTAGCTTTCATTGAGGCTATGATTCCGATCTTTAAGGTAGCTAGGACGGACTTCCAGTTTGCTACTTAACAAATCCATTGAGTACTTGTACTGTGTAATAATTGCTCAAGAGCTTATTCATGATAATAATCTGGTGGCAAGCTGAAATACTGATTGGTGCCGAAAAAGGTGGCTATCGCTACAAAAACTGTCACTGCACAGCATTAAGCTGAAAAGGTTGATTGCAGAGCACTGATGAGGTTTATGCCAAGCTTATTTATTGCGACCGTGCTATCTAACTTCTTTCGTAGTTGGCCTAGAAATTTGAATAATGAAATTTCTCTATCAGTCGGGTATTTTATGGACCAAGGCTGCATGAGGGGTACGGTCCGAACAAAAACATTCACTTTCAGTTAATTTCAGTGACAAGCATTTGTATGATTAGCCGTTGGATGGGTGAAGAACATATAAATCATAAGTTTCTGCCTCTCAAATGAACAGTGTCGCTCTGCGGTGACCTATAATATGTGCCTATTTCAGACGAATCTCGTTCCTTATCCGCGAATCCACTTTCCCCTCGTCACCTACGCTCCCATTATATCAGCGTGAGTTACTTGCTTATTCTCACAACATCATTGTTGTGTCCATGTCAGTGGGCTTTGACTCCGACTGTGTTCTAGGCAGCTCACCTGCCCAGTAAGCGTTCTGGCTGTGGCTCAGCAGTCATGGTACGTTGCACCGTGACAAAAACTAGCTCTTTGCTTCATGAGCACCGAAAGTGCTCTATGTTTCTAGAGTGTGGCAGCGATGATTAGACACGCTGTTGCAGCCGGATAGACAATCAAAAGTTGGCTTGAACAAGAAATCTCACGTAGCGATGGAAACATTAGCAAAGTTATCAAACGCCAATTGAGTATCTACTTGACCTCTACGAACTTTCATTAGAGGCCACGTAAGAACTCAGTCGACCCTGAAGACGCTTAAGGGATTGTGAATGAGTGAGACATTACTAGGGGATCGATCGATTTCCAAGCTGGCTTGGTGTTCGGCGGTGGTGTAGCGGCAAGTGGCGCATTATCAAAT